CGGCATTACCGTGCACAATTTTATCTCTAGATTTTTGGTTGAAAAGCAGTTCGCAATATTCACTCGTTCGTTTATTGTGAAGTCTTGGGAGTGGTGATCTGAGTAGTTCTTAAGGAGAATATCTTCGCAGAGTCTCGCCACGTTAGCAGCGATGCATCAGCCCACGACCGTGCGATGACTTTGAGTAGACATAATGCGGTGCTGCAGAAATCAGGAACTGCATACGGCCCACATTCATCGCGTGTTACTGCGGCGCTTGTCGCTGACGAGAGCGGAGAGCGCGGCGGGGCGACCACTTCCACTGGGCGAGGCACTCGTGCTGCACCGCCCATTTGGCGGTCGCCTGCACTACGTTTGACACTGGTAATACCTGAGAATTTGTAATCATTTAAATTTTCTGACGCATTTTCCCGTATAGGTTAGCTTCAGGCCGGCCCATGGAGTAACCGAAAGAGGTGGCTCAGGGCATCAACCGATGTCACTGTAGTGCCTCTGACCGGGAGGTACTAGAATCGAGTCTCGATGCTGACAGGATTTCGACACTAACTAGATAGCTAGGTCGAGTTCATTGGCTGTCTGGAGAAGAAATCTAGCGACCTGCTGCTTTGACTGGTAGATTACCGTGGTTTAGCCGGGCGAATGCTGAAGCAGTACCCTAAGGGGCCATGAACCGCACGCGATCTTTCCTTCCTCTTCCTTGTCTTATCCTCACCCCTTGGTTACTCACTTACACTAATATACAATTCACTACCGCACGTGTCGAGAGACCAGTCGGTAGCTTAGTGCTTGCCCCGCCTGAGGCGGTTCACCGCTGGTGGGAGATACCTGGTGGGGAAATCTCCGCTTGCTGACAGGTCGGATCCGGATCTCACTGTCTAGCGGAGGAAGACCTCAGCCACCTCCGCAAGAACAAATGTAGTACACTTACGGGACTAATGACATGAGCTATCGCGAGCTATCGATGCGCCCGGAATCACTAATCAATCAAAAACATCCTATCATGTAGTGGCCAGAGAGCTCGCTTTTCACCGCTTGAAACAGGTCCAGACCCTAGTCAATCTGCACGGGATTTAGGCAGGCTGTTTTCAGTTGTTTCTTCCGCTTTCCCTACCTCACATACCATGGTTGTTTCATTACATCATATCTTCATAATCACCTACCCGAAAATCATTCTTACATTACTTAGTCACTGATAGCTATAGGCAACAATATAATAAAGAATGTAACTGCGTTAACTGGCGTGACTGTCATTCTGTGGGCCAATGGAGAAAAATATATGTCTAGTGAAAACTTCAAAAGAGTTTTCCATTGGCATAAGAAAGAAGAATGGGTGTATTGATGTGCTTCTTGTAGAATCGCATTTCTTTAGGCATTCTTCTTTCAGTGAGCATCAGATTGAACAAACATAAAGGTGCTTGTCTGATATATTTATGAAATAGCTCTCTAATGATCTGGCACAAAGCCTCTGCGAGTGTGTGTGTGTGCGTGTGTTTGAGTGTGTGTGTGTGTGTGTGAGAAGTGTTGCTGCCCCCCCCCTCGGTTGCAGTGTTTACGGTACGTGTTGTGTGCGCGGGGCGATAAGGAGGCAGAGCACTCTTCCGCCCGCGGCTTGGCATCCGCCACCGCGAACTCTAATCTGCCAGTCCCGCTGCAGTCTTTTCAGTGCGACAGCACCAGTGGGAGGATTCACGCGAAGCGATTCGGAGTTCGGTTCCCGAGAACGTTGCGCGTTAACTTGCGGACGACGCGTAATCGGTCATTGAAGGAATATGCAGATATGACTGGTTAAAAGATGCCGCACTCTCCGACTTGGAGCAAGCTCTCGCTGATTCATTTCGATGCAGGTGAGTACAACAATGCGAAAAATTCCTTCGTACGCCTCCCTTCGGAGAGGAAGTAAAGCCGGGTGTCCCATGTTAGTAGATTTACTTGCATGTAAAAAATCCTCAAGCCGAAATAAATCATCTCAACTAAATTCAAATCGCCTGTTTCGTCGTCCAAGAAACACCTCCTTCCTCTGGTAGTTGGTGAAAGTGCGTAGCGAAATTTGCGTGGTCAGACGGAAGAACGGGCATGATGACCCGAGTCCCTCCCCGTAAAATAAGGCATCAATTCAATTCCCAACAGTTTTCTATGCTGATAGTTTTCTGATATTATATTGGAATTTATTTAACCGTGCACTTGACGTAAATCACCTGTTAACGGTTTCATCAAATCGGGAGCTATAACGTCCCCATAGTGACGTCACTATAGCGACAAGTAAGCTCCCGATTGGATGAAACCGCAACAGCTGATTTACGTCAAGCTGCACGACTAAATAAATCGGACTATAGTTTCGCTTCCACATTTGACATAAAAATAATGCTCTTCCTTAGACCCAAGGAAACCAACAATACACAAAACAGCTTTACAAAATATCATCAGTGATTTATCTCTAAAAAATATGGTTATATTTTATGTATATAAACTTCTCCATTTTTCTGCAGCAATGAATTTTGACTGGCAAAATTTTACTTCAATAACTTACATTAATTATAAACACTTTGTCTAATTCATGATGCAACAAAGCGCCTTACTTTTGAAAAAGAAAACAAAAACCATAATCTACTATATTGTTGTATATACACAACTATTTTATATATTATTTTAACAATGGTAGCATTAGTGACTATTGTATATTAGGATTATTTGTATTACCGAATGGCAGTTTCCTTTACATGAAAACTTTATTCGTGTTGATTTTTTTCAGGACCCAGCAATGGCTGCAAACATCACCAACTCGTAAGTAATGCTGGTATTTGCCATTTTTGCCAAATCACGTTTCGTTTACAAAATTCTGTTTTATATGCTTTTTGACATTTTTCTCTACAAACGATTAAACAAAGAGCTTAAGAAGTTAATTACAATACTCAGAAGTGCAAATTAAATGATTTTCCTCAAGCAGCTGTTGAAGGCAAATGGATTGTTTCTGATCTGTGATGATGGAACCTAGATCACTATCTCACGATCTCGTTATATTATTCACTCATTAAATACATTTTATGGTAAATACACGACCTGTACACTTAGTTTTTGTGCAACGCTTGTGGCATTTCATTTTTAGAACTACATTACAAAGATTAAAGAGTATTCTTATACGGAGCGAATTTTTACGCATACCCTTCTTCATATGAAACAATAAATGTATGGTTTACGAGCTCAAAAAGGCTAAATGTGAAGAACGTAAAGTTTTTCTAAACAACAATTTATCCAGTAAAACATTTTAAAGATAAAGTATTGCAGTTAATTTAAGAAATAATGAAAACCCATAAAAACTACACATTCAAAACTAAGTCTCAAAATGTGCTACGGAAGTATAATCAAATCTGATACATTTTAAAAATCCCCCTCCGTCTCTTGTCTCACGGCCGCGGCTGCTCGCCCGGATGAGTACTGGCTTCAGAGTTACAAGCTCGAAAAAGACATCATGACGTCGCTTGCATCTGCAGGACTGGCGAAAAGAAACAAACGTCGCTGAAATTTTCTTTTACATTTTTTAAATATTGAGTAAAAAATATAACGAATAATTCACTTTTCAATACATACGAAACCAATTAAAACCAAAGTTCATAACAATCGTTAAAGAGTTATCATTACAGTGGTCCTTATATTAAAGTCTTTTGAATTTTAATAATTTCCTCACGTGGATTTGGGGTTTTAAATGGGATTTAACATAGATTTTAGATTTTTTACAACGTAAGTTTCTTCATTCCCATTATTGGTGCCTCGTAATTGAATTCTTACCTGTCTTGGGATCGCTGGTGATGAATTTTCGAACCTACGTACTCATTAGCTTCAACATTCACTCTTCGGCGCAGACACAGATGTAAGAAGACAAATGGATAATAGTATAAACGTTAAGTGTCATAAACTTGCCAGATCCTGCAGGGTGTCAAAATGAGCGGCGCTATGCAACGGTCAAATAATTTCATTTGTGTGGCACCCGTATTATTGTATCGTAATTGTGTTTCAAAAGCATGAACCACAGTGGCAGCCGGTGAGTTGCGAATTAGGAGGTGTAGCATGTATGTCGGAACTATCACAAACATTATTTTACCTCTTCAAAATACGTCTTGAACGAGGAAAACTATGGGGTGTGGAGTACAACCGATTCGCACGTATGGAGATTTTAATTGTAAGACAACCATTACGTTGATAACAGACGATACTATTGTGATATACGAAAATAGATCTTTTAAAAATATTTTCAGCAAACAAAGCTGCCACCACATATGGGACAATAACTGCAACCACTATTTCAATTTTCATGTAGAAGTAGAAAGTAAGTTTCGCGAGAAAGGATTAAGGGATTATTTGGTCCTCCATTTTCATGTAGAAATAGAAAGTAAGTTTCGCGAGAAAGGATGAAGGGGATTATTTGGTCCCCAATTTTCATGTAGAAGTAGAAAGTAAGTTTCGCGAGAAAGGATGAAGGGATTATTTGGGTCCCGATTTTCATGTAGAAATAGAAAGTAAGTTTCGTGAGAAAGGATGAAGGGATTATTTGGTCCCCAATTTTCATGTAGAAGTAGAAAGTAAGTTTCGCGAGAAAGGATTAAGGGATTATTTGGTCCCCAATTTTCATGTAGAAGTAGAAAGTAAGTTTCGCGAGAAAGGATGAAGGGGCTTATTTGGTCCCCAATTTTCATGTAGAAGTAGAAAGTAAGTTTCGCGAGTAAGGATGAAGGGATTATATGGGTCCCGATTTTCATGTAGAAATAGAAAGTAAGTTTCGCGAGAAAGGCTGAAGGGATTATTTGGTCCCCAATTTACAACGGCCGTTGAATGGCCGCAGGGGCCGGAGGGGCGCGGCTCCTCCCGTGCGGGTGCGCAAGCTCAAGAACCGCGCCAAGACCTACGGCCAGGACTACGAGTTCAAGCTGGCGGCGCTGGTGGCGCTGCGCGCGCGCCGCCGCGGCCTGCGCTTCCTGCTGGCCACCAACGTGGCGGCGGCGCGCCCCTGCGACGACCTCTTCCTGCGCGTTTACGCTCCGCGACCCGCCACCTACTTCCTGCAGCTCAAGCACGCCACCGGCGACCAGACCGTCGGCCCGCAGGTGAGGCGCGCGCGGGGCAGCCGCCAGCCACCAACCTCAAGATATACATAAGGCTAAAAACTGTGTTAATTGACTCGACACTCGTTTCTTAAAAACCTCCAAAAACACGTTTTTTTTTCCTAAAATTCTCTTGTACCCACAACACATTTCGAATGACATTCACACGTCTCGAATGATGGGCCATGCTCGGTCCGCTTTCAGGGGCCAACATTTTGAACCAAGAACATTTTAACACCTAACGTTGTGGGGACCCCTATATTAGGCATGTAAGCTTAAAATATTGTCCTTCGAGACAATAAAAATTTTAAATGATTATTTCCATTTAATAAGCTCTTGAGACACATCGAGTGATAAGCGTTTAAAGAAATTGTCCGCTTTTATCAGGATATAAGTCTTAAAAACAAATACAGTACTTAAGCTTCGAGCACTTGCGCTGTTGGAGAATGTACAATGGAACATTTTCATAGTTACATGAAATGTTTCGCTTCAGTAGTGAATTCCTTCTAAGTATTCGTTTATTGATACTTTTTCATTATTACAGCAGAAACAGAGATTACCTTAACCGTTTGTTGAGATCTGTGAGAGAAATGTGAGAGTAAAGGTGTGTCTGTTGTACATTTTACTACGCGTGAGATCTGATGTTAATTTTTGCAATAGGTCCTCTAAGTATGAAGAAGTAACGAAATATGGATAAATTTATAAAAAATGTCCTTTAACACGTGGTGTTGCCAGGATCCATGTTGTTTCGGTCCTTGATTCTGAAAAATCAAATGTAGTCAAAACGTCTGTCTGTCATTCCGTCAACAACGCTAGCGGCAAAATCGTACACAGATTTTCTCCAAAATTTTTATACCCCAATTGATCTGAATGACATCGCGACCGCTTGAATTTGAAATCGATATTTGAGAGGGGGTAGTTTACACGGAGTCCCTGACACAATTTGAAAATTTTCAAAAAAATAGATTTTGATATAAGGATATATTTTCATTGTTTATGTTCTCTCATTGTTATTCGAAGTTATGTAAATCACTCACATAAATGTTATTAGAATGAAAAAAGGAATATTATTAAAAATAGAAATGCCAAAACACCTGTATGTTGTAAAAAATACAACGCGAGAGTCATCATGTCTCAAAAAGAGGCCCGAGATATCGAAAGTTAAATTACATTCATTTTAGTGTGCTAAACTTCGATTACACGGAAAATAAAGCAGTCTTCAATTTCCTTTTTACAGTAAAATTACGATAGTAACTAAAAATTCTTTTATTTCATTACCACGGTGTGTATTTTTAATAATTTTTCGCGGAAGCTAATTGAATTGAATTATGCTTTATTTTACGTGGCGAGACTCGGGCCATGAGGCCTGCTCTTCCGTCTGACCACGCAAATTTCGCTACGCTCCTTTCACCAACTAGCAGAGAAATGTATTTCTTGGGCAAGAAACAGGCGTTTTGAACTTAGCTCAGAGGATCTTTTACATGCAAGTAAATCTACTAACATGGGACAGCCGGCTTAACTTCCCCTCCGAAGGAAGGCGTACGAAAGATTTCTCCGCTCTTAAAAATCCACGGCTTCAATCGGGTTAGAACCCGCCAACTTGGGTACAACAGCCCGATACGCTAACCGTTACTCCATCACCACCCGCAACTGATCTCGTGCCGTCGCCCGTGATCCAGGCTCTCGTGTCCGACAAGGGCGACTTCAGCTTGCCGAAATACTTCAAGTTCTGCGCGGACTTCCACGCGATGCACGCGCGCCGCGACGCCCTGGCGGACGCGGACGAGCGCCTGCTGTGCGACTGCGACCTGCAGGTGAGTGCGACATCTGGACACTTTAGTAATTTCGAATAATTTTAAGGAACATGTTAACGTCCGTTAACCGTCTCGTCCCGCATCGTCAGAATACTCTCAGAGATCAGAATACTATTACAATTTCAAATAATAAACCACTAATACAATTTGTAAATTATTATGTTCATTTGTTGGAATGTCTTGACAATAGGACATTCGAAATTTTATTTTAACAATGATTTGAGAATTTTGCGAAGTTCTTATTATCTTGTTCTTGCAGGTAAGTACGGCATCTGAGCAGTTTAGTAATATCGAATAATTTTAAGGTACATGTTAACGTCCGTTGCCTCGTCTCACATCGTAATAAGATGGCAGAATAATATTACAATTTCAAATAATAAACCACTAATACAATTTGTAAATTATTGTGTTCTTTATTTGTTGGAATGTCTTGACAATAGGTCGTTTGATATTTTATTTTAACAATGAATTTATAATTTTGTGAAGAACTTACTATTTTGTGTTTGATTTGAATCACTTTATTGTAATATAAAATACATTTATTAAGGTCAAAAACCATTACAATAAAATAAAATGCATTTTTCTATTATAGAAGAACTAGAAATAAACATCGGAATTTTGAGAAAAATAGAAAAAACCGTAATAAACTTTCAAATAGCCAATTATCAAGGCATTAGAACATTATTCAGATTTAAATATTCACCTTCTCGTATATTTTCAATAAATTTAATATAAATATCAAATAATTATATTAAATTCATTTTTCACTGCGTATGAGTGTGTGTGTAAAAAGAGGGGAGGGGACAGGACAAGTAAGGGGAAGGAAGTATCGCGCCCGGTCTGTGGCCTACTACTGCTCCAGCTCCAGCATTTGCCTGCTACTGCTCCAGAATTAACCTGGTGTTGATAGGAGAAATAACGGACAGATCAAAGCAGCCGGCCACTAAAATTATTTTCAAGTCAGTGGCTGAATTCGACCTAGCGGTCTAGTTAATGTCTATCTATGTCATTGTTGGGACTCGAATCCTAGGCTCTCTCGATCAGAGGCACTGCAGTGAAATAAGTTGATGCCCTGAGCCACCTTCGCCGGTAGCTCGCAAGAGCGATACTGTATTATTCGATATACACACACCTAGTCGAGGCTTAGAGAGCAACTGTCTGGGGGCAACGACCTAAGAAGAGCCCTGCCTTCCTTGCAGGACACGCGCTTTGTCATCTACACCAACAAGACCGTCCAACGCGGGCGGCCGCCGCGCCAGCCTCCCCCCGCGCCCCTCCAGCAGCTGGTCTTCCCCTTCGAGGACATCATGGACACCGGAGCCCCGGGGGACGCGGACAACATCTTCTGCTTGTCTGGGCGCGATCAAGCGGTACGTGAACCAACGCCACCCAACTAGAGACTATGCGCCTCAGGTTTTTTGTTCTAGTTATAAAGGAGACACCGCATCATGAAGTTCATTAAAAATAGTGACAGAATGAATGCTTCTTTGTCGCAAATTATTTCGCTTTGATGTGATTTCCACTTGAATAATATTTTATTACTTTGATGGGATTTTCAGAGGTGAGCAAGAAACACTTCTTTATGGTAAATGTAAGTAAGGATTGCAAGAGAAGAAGTAGTTCATCTTTTCACAAAGACCCAAAAAGAGAAGTCATTGGTGAACTAAAAGCAACATTATAAGAATTTCGTTCCATATATTCATAAATCTCAATTCAAGGTAGTTAAAAAAATATCGTAAGACGTAAAATTTATAACTTATTTGGCTAGTAATTTTCTCGGAAAATTGTGTGTATAAAGTAAATTGTGCCAGTAATTCGTCAAATTTCAAAGTATAACCCCAATTCCGATTTTGCTGGGAAAAAACTTGTCAAACAATTCTACTTCATATAGTTAAGTTACCTGACATTATGTCAAATCTTTTCAGGCCTTGGACGTTTTCAACGGCCATTCGAGCGAAAACCTCTACAAGACCTTCTTCCTTCCGCGTCTGCGAATTTTCTGCCGCCAGTCACACGCCGAGGAATTGGACGCCATCATCTACAAGGAAATGAACGAGATGTTCGGGGGGCCTTTGGGGCGCATAGAGACCTACGTCCCCAAGTACATCCAAAACTTCAAAGACTGGTCGCAGGAAGACCATCAAGACGAGTGCATCACCGAGGCTTCTGACAGACTAGAGAAGATATTCGAGGCCGATATTGTAAATCTGGCTCGCAGTGCAGCAGGTGACGATGCCTTTGTTTTCGAACCGGCATTTTGCACGCACATACGTGACACGCTTGCTGACCACTCTGCGATAAGGATCTGCGTGCAAGGAGTGCCGCCCGGCCACCGCGCTGCTAAGCTTCTGCAGGTCTTGGACGAGAACTACGCAGACCGTTGGATGTACGTCGGCAACACTGTCAACGCCCTCTTCCCAACCGCTGCTCTGGTGGCTGTGTGCGAGAAGTTGTGTGACGTACTTGTGCTGGATGTCGAGGAAGTGGATGACAAGATACTCCGGCTGGTGAAAGATGTGCCCGGCGGAGTTAAAATTGTGGCCCTAGTATCATCGCGAAATGATGCTTTGAAGAAAAAATATGACGACATTTTGTCGTCATGGAAGGACCTTTTCGATGATTGGAAATTAGAGCACTTGCAAAAGAATATTCAAGAAACATTTCTGGATACAGAACTGCTTTTTCAGGTAGAGTACTTTTTTTCATTTATTTTAAGTGTCCTCTTCCACAAATCATCTTCAATTAGTTTGAAGTGTCTGTTAGATAAAAATTGAAGTTCGATTTTACGTCACATTCCTTTATTATTATTATTATTATTATTATTATTATTATTATTATTATTATTATTATTATTATTACTATTACTATTACTATTATTATTATTATTATTACTAGTAGTACTAGCAGTAGCTTTGTAGTAGTAGATGCAGCATTACGCTGAATTTGAAACTGCAGAAGGCAGACGGTAAATCCCGAAGACACCGTACTTTTTCACCTTTCCTTCACCTTTCACTTGCGTAAATTGAAACCATGAATCTAGCCATAAACGTTACATGAATGACGATTTGTTTCATCATAGTTAAAATATAGATGTTTCCTGTCGATATCGAAAACCTTTCGTTGACGCACCGCTGCGGCCGCAGGGTAGGCTCGTGCCGTTGCGCGCGCTGGGCGGAGGGGGGTGGCGCGGGGCGGCGGCAGCGGGACGGCGCGCTGTTCCTGAGCGCCCTGGCGGCGGGCGGCGTCGCTGGGCGCGCGTCGCCGCCGCCGCCCGACGCCGACGAATCCGACGGCCATCGCAGTGCCGCGCACGCTGCAGCACGCGAGCGTCGTGGACGCCGCGGCGGCGGCTGCGCCGCGCTGACCTCCGCGCCGACCACCTCGCGCTCTCCGCTTCCCGGCGCCACTTGCTAGACGGCGCGCTCGCGCGCGGCCTCGGCGGGGGAGGAAGAGGAGGAGGAGAAGCGCGGCGGCGGCGGCCGCGCGCGGCAACAGGTGGGGCGGGGAGCGCCTTGCCTGCGAGCGCGGGAGGCACGCTTGCGCGCGGTTAATGGCCGCTATGATCGATTGAAGCTGTTAACGGCAAATTTCATTAAGATCGGAATAAAAGTGTAGATTTGTGTTAAAACACAAAAGAACAATCATTTTTACATTCAAAAACTGTGATATCAAAAAATGTAGCATACTTTATGTCGAACAAAAACATTATAGTTTTCAATAAATGTCTATATAACTGGTTGAGCAGTTTTAGAGATTACCCGAACAAACAGACACAATCGCAAAAAATGGTGGAATCGAGTTTTATGAATTAGTGGAATGAGTTGTTTTTGAAATCACAATCGCACAGACACTTGAATCATCACACAAAGGTATTTGAAAAGAAGATAGGTTCGCATTTCTACACTTTATGTATTTTCTTATCTCCTTTCTCTCCTATTGGTCATCTCCTCTTCCTACTCTTCTCATTCTTCTTCTTTTCTTCTTCTTTCTTCTCTTCTTCTTCTTGCTCTTCTTCTTCTACAAGTACGAAATTATTGTGAAAAAATTGATCATAAAATGAACAATTTACAGAAAATGACCGAGGGTTTAAAAAGACCAAAAACACGACTTACATGAAACGAGAAAATTGCCACTTTTGTCATTGTAGATAAAATCCATGTTAACTTACATTCTCCATGGAAATAACAGAAAAAAAATATAACACGCCATAAACATCCATCCTTAACGATGACAATACTGTTATATTATAGCAACATTATAATAAGGTTGTCTAACTGGCATCTCGCAGTGCATTGAATGTAAATCATGAAGGTTTCAGTCAAAAATGTCCGCGCAAACCATCTTGGACAACACCCCTTTAATGTAAAATATAGTGAAGTTTGATTTAAGATTTTTTTTAGTAAAATTCAGAAAATTAAAAAAAAATCATCTCAATTTGATTCCTGCATTGTGCAATGTACGGCGTGATAGCAAGCATTGTCCTTCATCCCCCATTCCAAAGCAGTCGTACAGATGTGCCGAGATTCAACATTAGCGAGAAGTCAGGTGTGTATCGCCAATAAGAAGAAAATTGGATAATTAAGGTTTTTAGTTGTTGGCGCTTGGGGCCTAGCACGTCGGGCACCCCGCCGGACCTACTACGGTCCGATACGCCGGTGTTTGGCGCTGGCAGGTGGACGGTGCTGTCGTGCGGCGGCGAGGGCTCGCTGGTCGTGCGGCGGGCGGCGGCGGCGACGACCGGCGGCGTTCGCCGCTGTGCGACGCGCGGCCGCGGCGGGCAACGTGCACTGGCTGGAGTACGCGGCGACGGGCGCGCGCTGTGGCGGGCGACCGCGCGGCGACGCGCGGCGGCGTGCGCGCTGGTGCGGCGCCGGCGCAGCGACGCGTGCCAGCGCGCGCCGGCGTGCGCGCACACGCGTGCAGCGCGCGCGCAACCGCGGCGGCGTGGCGCGAGCGCGGCGCGCTGCTGCTGGGCGAGGCCGGCCTGGGCAAGAGCAGCTTCCTGGCGCGCGTGGCCGAGGAGGCCGGCCGCCGCGCGCCCGCCGCCTGGGCCGTGCTCGTGCCGCTCGTGGAGCACCGCGACCTGCTCAAGGACATGCCCCCTCCGCCAGGTACACCAAAGCATCGGTATTCTTTTATTTTCTTATATTTGATGCAGTGGGGTAAACACTTGACATGGGTTAATACGCACATACAACAATTTACTATGTTCTATTTACGAACGGCCTGATATCATGGTTGAGCACCGCAACCTGCTCAAGGACATACCTCTGCCGCCAGGTATATCAAAGCATCGGTGTTTTTTTAATGTAGTGGTATAAACATTTAACATGGGTTATATGCACTCTAGTCTCACATACAATAATTTACTATGTTCTATTTACGAACGGCCTGATATAATGGTTGAGAACCGCACGTAGAACAATTCGCCATGTTCTATTTAAGAACGCTTCGAACGTATTGATATTCGATATAGAGTTTAAGGTGGTTTACACCTACCGTTTAAAAAAAAATATTGCTTGCGACTATCTCTTGTAACAAACACAAATTTTCAGATACGAGATTACTGTGACGAATGTAACGCTTTAAGACTAATTTATTCCGAATTGTGATCCTTCAGCGATTACATATAGATTTTTTTCTAAATTCCGATTGATATAAGCTTAGGGGTTGCAGGTCATCAACTGACGTCATTGCTGTGCGTCTAAACCCTGCGGTCCGATACTTTGAGTCTCGATGATGGCAGAATTTACGACACTGGCTAAATAGATAGGTCCCAGTTAGGTGCCCGACTAGTAGGAGATATCTAATTGGGGAAAACCTCGCAAGTCGACGAGTAGATCGGCACCGGATCTCGCCATCCGAGGGAGGAAGATCACAGCCACCTCTCGCAATAAAAATCCTTAGACTTACTGTACTATGGCCATAACAGTTGAAATACTAATAAATGTATCAATCCAACTTCTACATCATTTGGGAGAGGAGGGATAAACGGGGAGTGAGTTGAATGCGCGTAGCAGGGATTATGTTCAGGAAAATACTCCAACTAAATCAACTACCGATGATTATTATTCACTTATTACAAGCCAAATTCCAAGTCATACCAATACCAGAAGAGTACCAAAAAAAACAACAACAAAAAACAAGCATGGTCTTCGACGACAGGAGATTTACCAGTACAATTCAAATTAACCAATATCCAATTAGAACCAACAATACGAGGTACGGTCAGCGTACGTTCAGTCAAAATAATGCCACTTATAACACGAAGATGTATCTCAATACAGTACTACTGTTCCATCGCCTTGCGCCGTCGCCGTCCATCGAAGATGGACGACATAACCAACAGAGACTCGCACATGCCTCTGGTTACAGTGGTTGCTTTTGCCGCCTCTAGCCTACGCCGCGCATGTCCCGGCAGCCAGCGCGCACAATTCGAATCACACTGTCAGAAATGTCCGCTTTACTTCAATGAAATGCACATTAAAGTAATTATCACGAACGCACGTTAAATATAATGTATACATGTGCATTAAGATGCTAGAGTCAGTATCTGGAAGGAAGGAAGGAATGATTTTCATGGACTTGTGATTATGAATACATGAGATGAATGATGAGAGGAAGCAAAAGGGAAGAATCTCTACATTAAATGTACTATTTTTAAGTTAAGCATTACATTTAATGTACAAATACACTAAGCTCTATTTAGTGTACAAGGTTACATTAAGTTTCATGAACAATACATTAATATACATTAAATTTTGTGACATTTCTGACTATTGCCCTTTATATAATCATAACAGAGATGGACGTGGGCCACGTGCTGGAGCTGCTGGGCGCGGCGGCGGGGGCGGGGGCGGGGGCGGCGCGCAGCTTCCTGGAGGCCGCGCTGCTCCAGAGCGGCGCCGTCGACGTCTTCGTGGACGGCTTCGACGAAGTCTGCCCCGCCTACAAGCACACCACCCTCCGCCTTCTCGAGCTGCTCATGCGCACCAAGGCGGCGCACGTGTGGGTGGCCTCTCGGCAGGAGGTGAGCGCGCCGCAGACTAACGATACGAGCATGTGGCCAATGAGTAAATAAATGAATAAATAAATGTCTTTATTGATGGCGAGGCTCAGGCTCTTCCGCCTAACCATTTTCAAAAAAAAAAAATAATACAATAATTAACGAAAAATAAAGGTAATTCAAAGAGAAATAAGTACGCAATTTCGATGAGGGGGTTTTTCACATTGAAGACTTGAATGTAAGCGAGGGAGGAAGGAGTAGAGAGGAAAGGCAATACTCTCACAGCATTGATGAAATGAAATTTATGAGCGAGATAAAATGTATTTATTTTAAGTAAAGGAAGTGTTAAAGTTAATGATAAATATATTAGAAAGCTATGAGAATTTATTCAAAATTTAGATAACTTATGTTTTCTGACTCAGAAAATTAGATACAGGAAGGATTGGACGGATCCTATATAAGTCAGTGAAAGGTTATTTAGTACTACTAAATGTTTCACACAGAGGTTTTGAAGGATAATAGATTACGTACGCATTATTGAATTTCCCCTAAAGAAGACTAGAAAGGGGGGAAATATGGACAGCATACAAGCGAAAATGCATCGAGTTCCCTGAGAAAAACGGAAAACGTTGGAAAATAAAGTATTTCGTAAGCATAATACTTGTACTTTGTAACAATAGTGACAATAATATTAACAATATTGATAATATGAAAATGTTTTATAAAACTATTTGGTTTTTAAATTAAGTAAAAAGAGGGAGAATAAAAACGATCAATTCATAATGTAGGAAAAATTTTCAATTTAAATTTAATGAGTAGGGGGCAGATTTTAATGATCTAAAACATCGCCTAAGATAAACAATAAAATTATCTTAAAATGTTTTTAAAAAAACCCTAAAAGCATAGAAAAATGAGATCAAAACCAGTTCGGGTGAACAGCTCAAATGGATAAACAAATTTGCTCCACTTTCTTCCTACAATTGTATTATATAAAGATACCTCTACCGCCCTAGTAGTAATGTAGGTTGTATTTTAAGATTATTAGAAAGATTATTTTAAGTTAATTATAAGTAGGCATAAGCAATTATAACAAATATAGAGTGTATTAAACACTGATCTTTGTATTGACCTATCAGAATAAAAATAAAAAAACAATCCTCCTACAACTACGTGACTGAAAACAGAGAATTGTTTCTAAACGACATCTCTTTTACAAAGTTATCTTTAAATAATGCAATTAATATTGTTTCAAAATATCCCGTAATATTGAGTAATATCGTTTGAGTATTTCAAGTGATGAATGAATCTTAATGATATAGAAAGTTCAATATAATAGCTAGGAAGCGGATTTGAGTGAAATGTCATATTTTTTTCTTTTCACTTTAGAACAATGCTTTTTAGTTAAGGCATTAATTTTAATGTTATGAAAAAGGAAAATGATCCATTTGTATCTGACTTTTATTTTTTTGCATTTTTCTTTGATTTCGACTAATAGAACCTTTTTTTACCTGTTCCCGTCATTTTTAAAGTATTTATTCGCCAACGTCTTCGATTTTAATATCACTTTAAAAAATGCTTAAAAATATATTTACGCGGTGCAACAATCACGGTTTTCCTTAGAATTCCTTAGTAGCCTATTCGATTTCTTCGCTCATAAATTGTAATGTCAGCCGTTGTGAGTATGTACTCTCATGTTTCTGTGACGCCTATCAGCGCATTTGACGGTTAGGCCGATTTTGGGGTAACTAAAGGCGGAGGTTTCCTGGTAAATAACAGGCCAAACCAAACGTTTGAAAGCTGATTTCACTTGAACGAAAAGAAGAATCCTCGATTACATCAGTAACGTATCCAACAGCTTCAGTTGATCATCCGAACTGGTTTTGGTCACATATTTTACGTCACTTTTCTTAGCTTTTTGTGGCGTTTTTGAAGCATTTTAAGAGCATTTTATCGATTATTTTAGGGAAGTTTTGGTCATCAAAATCCGCTCCCTAATAATAGAGTTAAGTAACCTTTTCCAGTAATCCGAGGAGAAAATATGTACTGCTGTTTCTAATTATTTATGGGAGTAGCGCGTTTATGCAAGCGGCGCGCGCCGTTCGCAGGCGGAGGCGGAGGCGGAGCTGCGCGGCGTGCTGGGCTGCGCGCCGCTGGGGCTGCGCCCGCTGTCGCGCGACGAGCAGCTGGCCTACCTGAGCGAGGCGTGGGCGGCGGAGGCGCGTGCCCGCCCCGCCGACCTCCTCCCGCTCGCCGCCGAGCTCGTCGACGCCCTCGCCGGCGTGCGCGCGGTCAGTACCCCCAACAGCAACGCAGCCACCTCCATCCTCATCATCCTCAACCAGACGACCAGGACACCTCTTTCACAACCACCCCCACCAGCACAACCACCACCTCCAGCACAATTCCCACCATTATCTCAACCACCACCAGCCCAACAACCTCCAGCTACACCATCATCACAATCACCACAAACACAAGTCTTCCGCGACCGGAGTCAATATCAATTTTGCCGTCTGTAGAACACCAAATACCCAAGGCAGAGATGCCTAAGTTTAGACCGTCTTACTGAGACTTTCCTCAGAGCAAAAAGCAATTCGCATTTCGCCCTGGCGAAAGCCGCAGTATGACGGCCGAAACGTTTGCAACTCTGGCTAGCACGCGGCGTCTTCCGGACGATCAAGAAAAAAGAAAAAAAAAACTTTAATGAATTTATTAACGTCTGTTACTTTGTTTATTTTATTGCAATGTTTTTTTCTGACGGTAATAAAACACTCAGTATTTTTATAACAATTTATTTCTTTTTGACCAATCAACCCTGTAAGGGGTCGTTTTCAAAAATGACGAGGAAACTTTTACCAGATGTAACGACTTCACCAGGTTGTTTTATACCATTGACAATTTTTATCAAAATGCAGTTTGTTTATGATGTAGTGTCAACTAACATGGGTAATCGATTTTTGAAAATGACTCCAAACTGAGTCGAAACGTCAAAAAGAAAAATGTTTACTGATACTGTTTTATTAAGGTAAAAAAACTTGTAAAATATAAATAAATAAGGCCGAGACGTTTATTACGGTAGTGCCGTAGCAACCTCGGATCAAGAAGCCCCGCCTCGGGCATGGGTGTGTTTGTGTACGTTTGTATGTGTGTGTCGTCTTTTCACCCGTCACTATCATCATCACTTCATCTTTCATATCCCCAGGACTAACAACCCTGGGGCGATAAAAATCGGATCTAACTTCACAGCTGATTCCATGATAAAAAACTGCATGCGCCTGCCAACGTGATAATGTTTCTGAGCCACGGTAAACACAGGATGCATGCACGCATAGTCCAAGTCGGCCTATTCGCAAACAATAAATAAATAAATAATAATAAATAAATATAAATAAAAAATAAATAAATAGACAGAGATACAGAGAGAGAGAGGGAGAGAGAGGGAGAGAGAGAGGGAGAGAGAGAGAGAGAAAGAGAGAGAGACCGACAGACAGAGAGATAGATAGATAGATAGATAGATAGATAGATAGATAGATAGATAGATAGATAGATAGATAGATACAGAGAGAGAGAGAGAGAGAGTCGGTTGTGCGCAGGTGAGCAGCGCGACCGAGAGCGAGCGCAGCCTGCTGGCCGTGCCGCTGCACGCGCGCATGGCGGCGGAGGCGTTCGCGGGCGAGGCGGCGGCGGCGCTGCGCGACGGGGGCAGCCTGCTGGGCGGGCGGGGCGTCACGCTGCTGGGCCTCTACCGGCGCTTCGTGGCGCTCAAGCGCGACCTCTTCAAGCGGCGCCACGGGCTGGCGCGCGCCAACCTCGAGAACACCTACCTGTCGGACGCGGACGACGCGCTGTTCGCGCGCATGCACCGGGCGTGCGCCGTGCTGCTGCTGCTGGCGACGCACGTCGCCTTCCGCGGCGTCGACGCCAGCGGCTTCGAGGCCGACGTGGCCAGCTTCGCGCCGCTGCTCGCCAAGGAGAAGACCGGCATCCTGGCCCTGGACGAGGCCGGCCGCCCGCGCTTCGCGCACTTCACCTTTCTCGAGTTCTTCGCCGCCGCCTGGCTCTTCGACCGCGTCATGGACGGCAGCAAAGAGGCCGCGCGGACCGTGTTCGATCGAGAGGTGCGTAGACCAGGCGAACCGTTTGTAACGGGATTGCCTCGTTATTTAGCCTCCTTGAGCGAAAGAAGCGTTAAAGAGACGCCAACTGTCCCCTTTTTTTAAACATCGGGTCTTATTTAGTCCCGCTTTTTTAGTAAATCGATGCATTTATGTTCAATTTGATGCGTTAGAACATATTCTTAAAATGACAACATCCCCTTCTTTTCCCGGAGCCGCTATTGGCAAAGTTTAATGTTGTTAAAACACACATTCATGAAATATCATGTGATTAATTTCAAGATTACGTTGCAAATAATGTACCACTTTTATAAAAAGTAATTTCTATAAATCAACACTTGAAATAAATTTAAAATTGCAGACTTACTTTCTTTTTATTGGAGCTATTCGTTTGAATTAATGTTAAAAAGTGTAGTACCCTACAGTGTTCAATGAGTATGTTCACGTGTTCCAATAATCACCAACAGAGAAATATTCACTCATACAGAACTCCACAGAAATCGCGTACAATTGCTTCACTCGAGTAGCTAAACGCAACTGAAAACTTGCAACTCGCAGAGACGAAAAGTCAGGGTCAATGTTTATAGAGATGGAATAGGACTCTCATCACGTGCTGGCAAGGGACGAACTTCCCTCTAAACCGAGAAGTTTGGGGAAATGACTCAGACCCCTCGACCTTCAGCGGTCACGCAGAAAATAATAATAATAATAATAATAATAATAATAATAATAATAATAATAATAATAATAATAATA